ATAGCGCAGGCCTACGTCTCACAGGATTTGCCAGCACCCACTCAGGTGACTGCTCACTCAACTCGGAGCGCAGCTACATCTGCGGCGTGGCTAACGCAAGCTCCGGTGGAAGAGATTTGCAGGGCCGCAACCTGGTCCTCACCTTCGGTTTTTATTCGACATTACCGTTTAGACTCCCTAGCAGCAGCAGACGCGGCTTTTGGCAGAAGAGTTCTTCAACAAGTCGTATCTGCTCAGAGTTCGGTAGCCTAGACATTCCCTCCCAGGGGGACATGAGGGCTTTGGTATGTCCCATCCATTTGGACTCTACAGCCATCCTGCTGGAGAAGGGGCGTTGTCTTACCTGAACGCCTTTTCTCAGCAGGATGATGTAGAGTCCAAGCCCACCCAGAGGATAGGTCTAGGCAGGGTTATAATAAAGATATAATAAAGAGCTGCAAGGTTAATTCCAACAAAGTTTCTCGCCTAAGTCAAAACTGGGGTCACGCCCAAAGGAAGGGGTGTGGCCGAAGTTTTTACCCAGTCTGCCAGGCAGGAAGGCCGTCATAGAACCCATCCATTTGGACTCTACATCATCCTGCTGAGAAAAGGCGTTCAGGTAAGACAACGCCCCTTTTAACTTGGTAGTTTTTCTTGTTGGGGTGATAACACAAAAGTGCCTGTTATGTAGTATTATTTCTCTCTCTTTCTCTATGCTATTTTTTTTCCTGCTGATTTTGTTGAGAAGAGAAAAGATAGGAAAGACTTAACGAATAGTGAAAGAAGAGCAAAATCAGGATTGTTGTCTGAGAAAAAGTGAATCCAAATGTCTCATTAAAGCAATTTTTATTAGGCAACAAATGCAAGCTTCAGAATTTCATTAAAAATTCAGAAATGAATGGGCAATAGAAGATAAAAGTATAAAAGATATTTAAACTAGGCCCACACTCTGCATTTTTTCCTGGATTATTAATTTTTTTTTTTTTTTTTTTTTTTTTTATTGAAAATTTTTACATTTTACAAAAACAAATCCCCTTCCCATACCCCCCCCTACCTCACCCCCCCCCTTCCCAAGCTCCCAAACCCTCCCCTGGACTTCCCAGAGCTGAGTACAGGCTTAATTAAAAAAAAAAAAAAAACTTAAAACACTTTTAAAACCTAAACAAATTTAAATACAATCATCATTCTATATAAGCTCCCTCCAAAAACACAAATTTAAACATTACTTTCTTTGAATATCTATATCTATAATATAAAATCTAATTTCTCCCTCTTTCTTTATCCTAAAACGAAAAAATAAACATACAAATCTTTGTTATACCATTAAAGCTAAATACTCTTAAAGAACTTAAAGTAAGTACATATTTCCTTCAATCTTCATAATCTTCTCTCCTATCCAAAAAGAAAAAAAAAAAAAAACAAAAACTTAAAAAACCTATAAGTCCTAAACAAATCTAAGCACATTTAATTAAACAAATTATTTTGTCTTAAAAATATTAATAATAATATTTAAAAACTAAAAACACTTTTAAATCCTAAACAAATCTAAATACAATCATCACTCTATATAAACTCCCTCCAAAACCACAAATTTTTAAAATTTAAAACATTAGAATCCACTCACTAAAATAAGCAAATTATAATCCCTTCAAAACACAAATTTAAACAATATTATCATTAAAGGTTCAAAACTTAAAACAACAAAGTTAATAAACACATTAAACATTTCAATCTTCACCAATAACTAATTCCATCCGTAAAAAACTACATCCTTATCAATCTCAATTATATTAGTATTATTAATTATTCACATTCCAGTTTTTTCCATTCTCCATTCTTCCATTCTTCCATTTCCCTTCTCCATTCTTGTATCAAACTCGTAAGAAATGCTGCAAGTTCTGCCTTAGGAGACTGCTCCAAAATTCCTGAATCTCCCATCGACTCCGAAGCCAATAAGGGTTCCTTAAATTCCTCCTTGTATTGATCTTTACAATTGTAAGTTGTACAAGTTATCCTCTGCCCGTTCCTCTCTTGTTGATGCCCCTCAGACTGAGATTTCCCAGTTTCCATTTCAGGCAACAATTCCACCCTTAAAGATTGCTCCAAAGACTTTGTAGGTCTAACATCTCCCAGAGATTCAGAAACCACTAAATATGAAACTTCCTTAACCTTCTTCTGTTGCTGCTTTTCTTTGGGATTATATACTGCACAAGTTGTCTTCTGCTCCTCAACCTGGACTTGTTGAGGCCTCTCACACAAAGATTCTCCAGTTTTCATAAATATAGGCTCTTCAAACTGTGATTCTACATTCTTTTCTTCCAAAGCTTTAAACTTAATTGATGGCGATGCACATACCCCCAGGACCGAAGTATAAAAATCTTTTGCTTGAAAAACAGTATTAAGTCTATAACATGTCCCCAGGTAATTCACCACCATTCCAATCGGAACATCCCATCTGAATGAAATTTTTCTCTTTTTAAGTTCATTTGCTAAAAAAGCAAACTCCTTTCTTCTTCTTAAAATTTTAGATGGGATCTCTTTAAAAATTATAACATCTTGTGAAGCAATTTGAAATCTCTTCTTATAATAGGCTTGCACAATTTCATTGCGTAAAGATCTTTTACCAAAGTAAATTACCACATCTCTTGGCAGATTCTTCTGTGCTGCCACCACAGAGTTAACCCTAAATAATTTTTCAATTTCATTAAGTATTCCCTCTTTTTCTTTATTCAAAATCAATGCAAAGTCCTTTGCAACCATCTCCTTCAGATCTCCTTGCAAAGACTCTCCCAGGCCTCTAATTCTTAAGGCATATTCCATTTGTCCATATTGAAGCATAAGAATCTCATTTTCCATTTCTTTTTCCATACTTTCAATTTTCCCCTCCATTATGTCCACTTTTTCAGCTACCTCTTCCACATGGGAGTTCACCTTTTCAAGAACAGAAGCAACACCTTCTAAAGCCAAAACAAAATCTTGTCTCAAGATCTTATTGTTTTCCTCTAAAATCTTTTTCATTTCTGCCCTAATTTGAATTATAACATCTCCCATCATGTCTTGCAAGTCCTTCATAGTTATTAGCTGACCCCCAGAAGAGGGTGAAACTGTTGATTTAGAAGCTGTAGAAATCCCTGGACGCTTTGGAGCCATCTTAAAGAAAAACCTTTAGTCCTTCTTAAAAATTATAAAAATTCCTTCAAAAATCATAACTCCCTCCAAAGAAGGTCATTATAATAAAAAGAAAAAAGGGAAAAAAAGGAAGAGAAAAAGAATTAAAAAAAAATTTTACTCCTTCTTAAAAATTACAAAAAATTAAACAGAAAAAAAGTCCTTCAAAAAAGGGTCATTACAATAAAAAAAAAAGGGAGTTCAAAGGAAAAAAAAAGGGAGAAGAAAAAAAAAAAAATAATTAAATAAAAAAAGTCCGTTCCAAAAAAAATACTTAGAGATACCAAAAACAACCATTCCAATCATAAGGAAATAAAAAGAGAAAGGGAAAGGAAAGAAAGAAAAACACCAAAAAGCCTGCCGGTCAGCATTCTAACTTCCAGAAAAAAAAAACACCGAGGAGTTTGCCGATCGCCATTTTACTTTCCCTTTCAACAAAGAAAAAAAATAAAAAGAGAGAATAAAAATAGAAACAAATCTTAAAACTTAAAATCCAAATAAGTCAAAGAAAGCAAAAACTAAATCCTCTACTCAGCTCTGTCCATTTAAAAAAAAAAACTCACCAGTTCTCTTTAAGCACGGAGGTGTTTGCAGCGGCTCGTTTTGTCCCTAAGGACAAAAACAGCTGGGAAGCGGAGACAAGTCTGAACTCCGTGGGAGCACTCCTTTCACCCCCCCAAAAAAAAAACTTGGGGGGTGCGAAAGAGGCTCTACCACTATTCAGACACTCTCTACCCCCCCCCCTTTGCCCGGGAGGGGGATTTTGAACCGCTGAACAGCTGGTGTCTGCTGTTCATAGCGGTTCTTACACTTACCCAGGAGGACGGCTACAAAGTAGCCGCCATCACGCACGCAAAATCCACCGGAAGTCCTGGATTATTAATTTTGTTGATTGACAAAGAGATCTTGGAAACTCAAAGGCTTATTCAAAAAAGTGTCCATTTTCCCCTTGATTCTAGGGTACAAAAACAAGCTGCAGGAACTCTTATTTTCCATCTTATAGCCAAAATGATAGATGGGATGCTAGTATATACTAATTGCTCTCTGTTAACCTAGCTAAATAAATAAAAAAAAAAGCCATGGGGTGATTTTTATTTTTTAAAAATTATTTAAACATGTTTTTAAGAAATAATGGATCCCTTTGACCATTTTATAGGTTGAATGATAGATAGAAGAAATTAGGAGGTACTAGCATCTTTTAAAAATGTTCAGCAAATTTTGCACTCTTTGTTTGTGAGTATGAATTCTACCTCCCTTAAGAAGGAGAAACTCAGAAAGAAGCAACTGTGTTATTGTTCTCTTTGCTAGATTTGTGTTGCTACAAAAAGATGTTGCCATTTAACCCTTAAGTAACATATTGCCATTGGACTTATTTCTCATCCAATGTTATTTTCCTCCTCCTCCTCCTCCTCCTCCTCCTCCTCCTCCTCCTCCTCCTCCTCCTCCTTCTTCTTCTGCTACTTCTTCTGCTACTTCTACTTCTCCTCCTCCTCCTCCTCCTCCTCCTCTTTCCCTCTTCCCCCTTCAGAAAGTCATAAAAATGACTGTGAGCAGAAGAGGGATGTACAACTGAATTCAAGAAAAGTTCCTGAGCTTATCTACAAGACATAGATTAAGGAAGGCACTCAGTGTTGAGAGTCAGGAAACCAAGTAATATTAATCCCTGAGGAAATTCTAAACAGGATGGAACTAAAATTTAGGCCAAAACTGTGTAATATATTCTGTGGCAGGATCCAGGTGGCTGTTCTCAGGTGTAAAATAATACTGTTCCTGATCCCATAAGATTTACATTTCCAGCTTGTTTGTCTTCTTTTTCCTTCACTCCCCTCCTCTCCCTTCCCAAATCCATACAGTGGGATGAGGTGAGTGTCTTGGATGATAGGAAGCATCTGATTCGAACCTTTGAGGTATGCAATGTTGCTGAGCCGGGACAGAATAATTGGCTGCGCACTCATTTCATAGAGCGTCGTGGAGCCCACAGAGTTCACATACGCCTCCGCTTTTCTGTTCGTGACTGTGCCAGCATGAGGACCGTGGCTTCTTCTTGCAAAGAGACTTTTACCCTTTACTATCATGAATCCGAGACTGACCTAGCCACTGCTGAGCATCCGGAGTGGCACGAGGGCCCCTGGACCAAAGTGGATACAATCGCCGCTGACGAGAGCTTCTCTCAGGTGGATAGCTCTGGAAAGGTGGTGAAGATGAACATCAAGGTGCGAAGCTTTGGGCCATTGACGAAGAGGGGTTTCTACTTGGCCTTTCAAGACTCTGGGGCCTGCATGTCTCTGGTGGCTGTCCAGGTTTTCTTCTACAAATGCCCTGCAGTGGTGAAGGGTTTTGCCTCTTTCCCGGAGACGTTTGCAGGAGGTGAGAGGACTTCTTTGGTGGAGGCACCAGGAACTTGTGTGGCCGATGCAGAAGAAGCCAGCAGTACTGGCTCCTCTGGAGTGAAGTTGCATTGCAACGGGGAAGGCGAGTGGATGGTGGCGATTGGAAGATGTGCCTGTCGTGCCGGCTATGAGCCTATGGACAGTGAGAGAATCTGCAAAGGTAAGAAACAGATGCTCCAGGAAGCGTCCCTGGCACTTTTCAAGTCAACCTCTTTGGAATAGAAGCCCACAATGTCTTTGATAGTCAATGAGTCCTGTGAAAAACAAAAGTTTAAACTCCTGTGGATATCACATACATATACAATATGCTTTTGTCTGAGTTGCTTCTGTAATCTTTCCTCATCTTTACATTGAGTCCATTTGGGGGTGACTCAAATCACATTTGGTATAATCCCGTGAAGAATCAAGAGATTATGAATTTGATTCAGCCTTGTTGGCTGGGATCTAAAAGTTGCCAGCCAGGTTTTACCTTTAGTAGCCTGCTTCTCCCTATTCTTTATGCAAATGGAGAAAACCACTTCTTCCTCTGTCCAACAACCTAGGTGCGCCACAGAAATAGAGGATTGGTAGTAAATAAACAATATCTAGCCCTAATCTAAGTTTTGTGGGTGCCCTCTGGGTGTCCCAAGCCACCAGAACTTTTCAGATTTGATTCTAGTTTGCAAAGTTATCAATCTGAGTGGCAGTCCTGATTTTAACATAATGTTTCCCCTTTTCTCTCCCTAATAAAAACGGGACAGGCATTTGGATTGTTTTCCAAATGAACAGCAACGAAGCCTTTGCTTAGCCGTTTTTTTCCCATGCAGATCTGGAGGTAAACCACAGCTGTTAAAATCATACTTGTAGTACAGTAATGGGGCCCAAAATTGCCTTTCTTCCTTACAGTAGAAACAACTATCTGCTCTCCTAATAGCTTTAATTTTCAGCTTTCCGTTGTGAACCTAGAAGGATATCCAAGCTGTTATTCTTATTCCATGTATTCCATAATAGTTACAAAGTAATCCTAATTTCCCAAACAATATCCCATATTGTGAAATTTGGTGCATGCTTTTCCTTCTGGAAACCATAGTAGTTCTTTAAACTGGACTTCTTGTCTACATTTGGGTTCCAAATTGCCAAACTCCCAATTTAATAGTGGGAACTGATATTCCAGATTCCCCCAAGTAATTTGCCCAGAGTTTGCACTGCAACAGCTAGCAGTATTAGATGAAGTGCAGTTTAATGAAAATAAGGTGACCAACTTTTTTACAATGAAAAGGACACAAATAAATTGAAGAAAAAAATATCATAAATAAAAGAAACAGTTTATTCATTGCAACAATAATACAGACAACTTGCATGTGCAAAGTTTGCCAGCTGGGTGTTTTGTTGCACTCAGCAGCAATTCCTATTGGCTTTTGAAAGCCAATAGTGGGAGTATCACAGCTCATGCAAAAGTTGAAAACAAAACCCATCAAAAAAGATGCCAGAATGCCGTTCTGAGCGTTCTATGAGGGGGAAAAAAAGCCCTGCAGATTAGTCTTCAAATATCGAAAAGGAGGACATGAAGGAGGACACTTTTTGAGGGAGGACAGAACTTACAAAAGGAGGACTGTCCTCCCTGAAGGAGGACGGTTGGTCACCTTAATGAAAAGGCTAGGAACCTAGCATGGTCAATGGAGCTTCATTGCCAGTTACAGCTATTTTTGTTCCTTTGAACGGAGCTGCAGTAGTATCTGAAATTCCTTCTTAAATGGAGTTTAATCTCAGCATCAGCTTTTCCTTTAATGTTGGCTGCAATTAATCTTAAGCATGACTGATATTTGTGCAAAATCTAAATTTTTAGTTAAAACCAGTGAGGAAAGTCCTTTCTCCAGAAGAGGCAAACTAAAAGAAGCCTACAATTGTCCATTCTATTCCCAGCCAAGAATGTGATACATACGCAATCTATTACTGCATGTGACGAAAAGTAATATAGCTGTTTGATGAAGCAGCAGGGACCCTTTTCATAGCCTGCTTTAGAAATGAATATTCACTGTGGGGGCTACAAAATTACTGGGGAGGGGGCTGTATAGTAATTCTTTAGTGCATGCATTATCTGAATTGAGGAGAAGGCCAAGTTAGTATTTTAGAAACATTCTTATATAGCATACTTAAATCTGTTTTTAAAATTCAGTGAAGAGAAATTCAGAAAAATATAGATATTAGCTGCTAGCATATTCTGAATTTTAATTATATCAAGAATGCCCCAGCTTATGGTTAGTTTGCCTTTTCTTGTTTGAGGTGTGAATCGCTTGCATTTTCCCCCCCAATCTTTGTGGAAACATTAAGGATATTCTTTAAAAAAGTGGGCTCTCCTTGTCAAGCATCTGAGTTAAATGGGTTCTAGATAAAATATAAAAACCATTATGATTATTTGAAAATACATTCCTTCTTGGGAGCTGACATGAAGACATTTAATATAAATATATATGTAGCTTTCCATATTACACAGACCTATTTCACAACTCAGTGCAGTTGAGAGTGTACTGTAACTGTTATAACACCTTTTCCTACACAGTTAGTCCTTTACTTACAACAGTTCATTTAGTGACTGTTTGAAGTTACAACGGCACTGAAAAAAGTGACTTATGACAATTTTCACACTTACGGCCGTTGCAGCATTCCCAGGGTCATGTGATCAAAATTCAAACATTTGGCAACTGACCGGGATACTGCAACAGTCATAAATGTGAGTCAGTTGCCAAATGTTTGAATAACCATGTTACTGATTTAACAATCGCAGTGATTCACTTAACAACTGTGGCAAGAAAGGTCGTAAAATGGGGCAAAGCTTACTTAACAAATGTCTCACTTAACGGCGAACGTTTGGGCTCAATGGTGGTTGTAAATCGAGAGGTATTTATACAATTTAGACAGTTCCTTATATTTGATCTTCAAAAGATCAACTCTTTCAGCTATGTCTTTTTCCAGGAAATGTTATGACCACTCTGAGGGGTCAAAATCAAATTTTGCAGCCCCTTAGAAGGCTAATACTTTTGCATAGAAATAGAATTATTCAATGACACTGAGTAGATTGCTTTAATGATTCTTATTATAATTAGACAGTGTTGAAAAATGTGTTGTTTAACTTTATGGCCATTGCAGACCCCAACAGTTCAAATCCAAGAAGGCCTTCATGAAAGACATGGCAATAGCATTTTTTTTTTAGTAATATCAATCTGTCGCCATAAGTGAAGTCATTAATGAGAAAGAATTGGCTTTTTAATTGTTTTTCTGAATCTCCTTAGAGCAGAGGTCTTCAAACTTAGCAACTTTAAGATTTGTGAACTTCAACTCCCAGAATTGCTCAGCCAGCCAGGGCTGGCTGAGGAATTCTAGGAGTTGAAGTCCACAAGTCTTAAAGTTGCCAAATTTGAAGACTTCTGCCTTAGAGGCACACATGTTTTAGTCTCCCATTTTCTTTTTCAATTTTCATGTGCCTCCAGTGGTTTTCATCATATTGAAAAATCAGATTGGCAGCGCAGTGTGTGATTCTTGGTTAACTGGGCTGCTTCTGCACCAAATCCAGGAAATAGAAAGGAGCAGCAGCCATTATGCAGGATTTGTACAATTTTCAGGAAAAACTTCCTTCCCCTCTTACTATTTTTGGACCTGAAAATTGAGAATGAGAACAGTGATTTCCAGATTAGTCACAGGGATTATCTTTCATATTGAAGAATTGCACAAAGCAGCTGCATAAGTTTAATATATTTCAATGAACCTTGGCAATGTGATGCAATTAGTACAGGGAAGTAAAATCAATGGCCACCGAAAGAAGGCAAAGGTAGCACTGCCAGAACCATCACACTTTTCACAGCAGACCTGTGACAGAACTACTTTTTCCAGCCATAACAATCATTTGAAGTTTTGCAGCCCACATCTGGGAGCCCCTGTGAAAGAGAGGACGGTTATTTTGCTCACTTAACCGTACTTAACAGGCTTCCTGTACCATTTTAACATCCTCTAGTGAAACAGTCTCAGAAGGGAGGTGGGTTTTGTTGGTAATGGAAATGTTCCAAGAAAATTGATGATTCAGCTTAGCATAATTACAATAAACGTATCATTTAATGGTCTTACTTTGTAGTGGATGACTGTTGAAAAGCAGATGCCTTGCTTTCTTGATTGACTGTATTAATATTGCAAATATTTGACCAATGTTTGCTTAGTGGGTAGAAGCAAAACCATTTCTGTTTTTTATAACTTTGCTTGCCTCCTTTCAAGAAATCTTGTGTGTTGAAAACCCAAGATCTCCCCCCCCCCTAAATATACAAACTCTTATTACTTGAGTTTTATTTGCATGATAATATAAATACAACAATCACATATGGTAGCAGTTCTGGGCACAATTCCCTAAAAGAAAGTTCTGTTCAGTGTATTGGGATCTGTTTTCCTTTATCTATGGACAAAATGAGAATGTGCTCATACAGCCAAATGTTACCGCATTTTTCTAGTAGTGGCACTTAAGCTCAGTGCCAAAATGTATTGAAAATTATTGGTAGCTGCTCCAGACATTTTTCTACCCTAACTATTAATTACTGTTTGCTTCATTCTTTTTTAAACTGGGAGTGTCCTGTCCCTGCTCATCTCTTCTTGACCACTGTGATCATTAGTGGATGCTCAAGTCCAAGTGCCAAGTCTTGTGATGTAAAAAATGTGGTTGAATAAGAGTGCGTGCATGGTGAATGCTCTGAATAAGCAGTAATCTTCCACTGTGAAAATGACATATTTACTATTGCAGGTAAATGTTCCAGACAGATCACGGGCTAAAACATCTTACTATCAGATTTAAAACAACTACCAACTGAATGCAAGATGTGTATATGTGTATGTGTAGATAATGGTCTTCAGTATGATGCAAACTAATTAAGATCTTAATGGCATTACTTAAGAGTAGAATCCTTGCTCCTGAATGGGACATATGTTAGGCAATAGGGGGATAAGCAGCATATATGAGAGTTTATAACAGAGCTTTGGAGCTTCACTGGTAAAATTATTCTGTGGATTAGTGTCCCAAACGCAATTCTACATGCAGGAATTTGCAGAAATTATGAGAGAGGGTTTGCACATTCCTTGTGGTTCTTCCTATTCTCTGGAACTCCTTCCCAGCAAAGTTCAATGTCTTTTGGATAAGACCCAAAA